TATTTGTTGTCTCTTTATAATCTCTTTGTAGTCTGTCTTGTAATAATCCGAGCAAGTCAAACCAAATTTTAATCCACAATGAGGTTGCTATGACTTCTCCTAAATTTCTTTCTTCAGGTTCTTTTATACCCTAATCCAAGTCATATTTATTGTGCTTTCCAAAAAGAAGAGAGTATACAAAAAAACAATAAAAATATGGTATAACAGCATTATAGCAAAAAAAGAAGATAAAATATTAAAAAACTAAAAATTAAAAAATAAGCAGGAAAAAGAGCAAGAAAAAGGAAAAATTTCCCTTGAAAATTTAGTTAAAAATTTAAAACAATAAAGAAGAAAAAAATTGCAAAAAGCTAACATAAAATAATGTCCATAAATTAACATGGTAGTATTATAATAAGTAAAAAGTAAAATCCACATTAGGCCACCAGCTTTCAAACTCCAACCATCAGTTTTTCTCCAACAATAAATTCCACACTGCAGACTTGCAGTTGTTAGACAAAACAGTCCAGGAGAAAGGGATTTAATCTTCTATTTTTTTGTGTCTCTTTTGTTCTTTTAGTTTCCTAGAGTCACACTATTTATGATTAAAGTTGTATGTCATTATCTGTCTATTCACATAGTATCAAGATCATGTAGTCTTTCCCTGTTTCTCCCTCTGCCTTCTATTTTCCTCTTTTGCCTTTAGATGGCACTGTTGCACTGCTTTCTTTTTTTCTTTGCTGTAATAATCCTTTTTATTTTAGGTCCTTCAAAGTTTATGTTCAGATGCAGTAAATTAAAAAGTCACAAGAAACAAAAAGGGAAAATCCAAATGTCTCTTCTTATTTCCCTTAGCTTAATCCAATAATTTCAACAAGTCAGGTCCAGTTTTAATATTACTCTCCATTCACAAATCCTTGATTAATGACTTCCTTTCTCTATTTGTTCTGGAAACCACTTTCCTCATAGCTTTTTTCGGGGGCGGGGGGGGTTAACCCACCTCCACCTTTATCTTTGGCTTTCTCTTTCACCCTTTTCTCCCTGGGGGCTCTTTTTTAAAAGTATTTTTAAAAAATTCTTTTTCACTCAGTTCGATCACACTTTCTAGTTCTTCTTTCCATTGGCAGCTGCCCCAGCCTCGTAGTGGCTCATAATGGCTGCTTTTCTTTCCAATCAGCTGGAGAGATTGTCTCTGGATCAACTAGGGATATTGCAGTATCCCTGGGATCGACAGAGTATTCCCCTCCTTGATTATCGCCCCTCCAAGGCGATTTAGGGCAAAATGGACCACCAGCTGTCAGAATTTTGACAGCAACCCAGGAGCTCTGAGAAACTCAGTCGTATCACCACAACGTCAGCTCTGCCCCAATATTGTTATCAGTTTTGATGGACTTCATTGCTGTTCCTGTTTTATAAAGATGCTGGAATTTTGTTTGTATCTCAGCATTGGGACAATGGTCTGACATATTTGTTGTTAGGCTTCTTTGCTGAGATCTTTCTATTTTAAGGTGTTTTCTAGGCTTGCTAGAAATTCTGTTTTTGATGCATCTTCGTGGTTGAAGTTGAATCCCTTAATCAGGACTTGTTGTTCCTCATCTTTGAGTTGTCAGTTGGATAGGTTCTTGATCCAGGCTCGTTCGTTGTTGTGAGAGTTGTTAGCTGTTAGTCTGGATAGCTTACTTCACAGGGCAGTGTGCTTCTTTTCTCTTTTATTTATTGTTCTGTGCTCGATTGCTGCATTCAAACTTTGCATAAGTTGTGGTCATGCAGAGGTGGTATTCAGCCGGTTCAGCCCAGTTCAGCCAAACTGGTTGTTAACTTTGTGTGTAGTTCAGAGAACTGGTTAATCACACCACTGCCTGGCCCCGGCCCTCCCCTCTCCAGCATTCCTTGCCTAGGCCGGCCTCTCCTAAGGCTATTTTGGCATCTTGGTGCTCCTTCATGGGTGGCAACCTGCAGATAGAGGCAACAGTGGGGCAGCCCTCCCTCCGTGGGCCCGGTGCCCTTCCTCCTCCTCAGAACTGCTGCCATTCCTGCACCCAAGCGAGGCTGCCCTCTTGGTCTGCATCTGCCGCCTGAGTGCACTCTACATCTGCCTGCACAAGTTCATCAAGCAGTTTGCCGAGCACACTCTGCTGCCGCCTGCCATCCAACCACAGGTGCACCCTTCCTGGCCTGCGTGATGGACTGTGGCACCGGGTGAGGCCAGAGACACAGAAAGAGAGAGGTATGAATGGGTGATTGAGACTGAGTATGTGGCTGATATTTGGCTTCTAGCACCAGAGGGGGTGGGGAAGGGAAGCAGCCAGGCTGCCACTGCCTTTCATTGGGGCGCATGTAGCGAGATGGGTTTCCTCTTGCCATCTCTTTTCTCCCCCTCGCCAGGCATGGCAGCACTTCCTGCCCTTCACTTAGCCACCCCCCCCTTATCAATGCAATTTGTGGTTGGCAGGTGGGGAGAGGTGGGGAGGGGGAGGAAGGGTATTCCCAACTCCTGGGCTGACTGGCTTCTTCCTGGCAGCTGTTTCTCTGCCTTTCAGCATCAACCATCAAAGATGAGGCTTTTGTGGGCAGAAGAGCTGTGCTACAACGGAGAAATGGGAAATAGAGCGGCCAGCATGAGGGAAAGACGAGGAACACAGAAAGAGGAGAAACAGCCTCTTCCTTCTTTAATGTTGGCCACTCAGTTGCCCGTTTCCCCATTACAGCACAGTACCATGGAGCTTGTCCCACCCCCCACCCCCCACACGCTCTCGCTTCCTCCAAACATTTCTTTGCCTGCCTGATTTCCAGCTCCGTTGTGTTCCTCCGTCGCGTTTCTCACCATTATGTACAGGGAAACAAAAGTTTGTGGGACTTTTGTGCTTTTCCTCTTTCCCTGCTTTTCATCTTTCCCTTGTGCCAGCCTCTCCATTGCAGCACGGTGCCCAGGATCCGCTTTGATAGTGAGGGGGGAGGGAAATGGAGCAGCCAGCTTGAAGGAAGAAGGCCGCTTTTCCTCTTTCCCTGCTCTTCTTTCCCTCATGCAGGCCTCTCCATTGCAGCGCAGCACCCAGGATCCACTTTGATAGCAGGGCTCCCCTAAGCCTACGATGGAATAATAAGCCCCAATCTTTACACTGGAGGACGGGAAGGGAAGGTTTTTTGGTGCAGGACCATTGCTCAGGCACCCCCTCACTGCCCATCTCATGGCAGAGCAACTTCTCCATCACTGGGTGTTAGACAAGGGAAAGCAGCTGGAGCAGGGTGTGGTGGGGAAGACTTGTGTGAAAAAGTACGAGCCAGGGAGGCAAATTGGAGACAGAAGAGGGGTGACTGGAGAGGGCCTCTCTCTCTCTCCCCGATCCCTGATTTATTGGGGAGATGGAAGAGGCAAGAAGCAGGGTGGAGAAGGGAGCAGGGCGGCCGTCTCCTTTTCCATGGTTGGAAGCAGCCAAAATCTGCCCAAGAGAGCTTGGCGGTGATCCAGAGGACAAAATCAGTTTTCTTTTTTTTCCTTTTTTTTTTGCACAAAAGGAGGGGGGAGAGTGCACAGGATGTGGGCCTGCTAACGTGTGATCCCCAAAGTGGCCATAATGCAGGGCAGTGCAGCCCTCTAAGCCAAAATGGCTGGTTTCCCAACTTGTTTGAGCTTAGCCTAACGCATGAATAGAGGCACGAAGCTGGACTGGCTGCATATCATCCTGGCTGTGGTTAGGAACCCAGCTAGGGCTAGCTGTCAGTCCCCAACGGGGTGGTCTCCAGCGGTGTCAGTCTTAACTTCTCAGGCCAGGCAAGGAGTGGTTGGGAGGGAAAAGGGCCAGTGCAGTAAGAGGCAGGGCGAGGCAAGGCACCCTTCAATGTGAGTGATGTTGATGTAAGTGATTAGGACAGAAAACCGATTGTTAAATTATTTGGATCCCACCACTGGTCCAATGGTATTGTTGCATAAGAGCTTTTGTTCATTGAAGCATTTTATGTATTTGTTAAAACAGTTGTGAGTGTCTGTTATCATCAGTCAGATCATGCATTTACCATTCTGTTTTGCCATTCTGTTTTCTGTAATGTAGTTAATGCTTTGAGAAAGTATGTTTTGTTGTAGGCATTCATAAAGGAAGAATAGTTGCTAGTGTATGGAAGCTTCTCTGCAAGTGAAGGTCTCCCAATGACAAGTGACGTTGAGCGTTGGACGCCCAAAGGTGGCTGCAGTGTGTTTGAATATTAGTAGCTCAGGTTGGTAGGCTGTTGATTTGAGCTCCAAGCTTGGCAATTTGGTTGCAAATGTTTTGTCACCATTCGAGGATACTTCATTAGTGCATTTTGAATTGTGCTCATCTGTCAGAATACAGCTCTTTAAATACCTTTTTATGAGATGTAAGTTAGTCTGAATTTTGTTTGTTGGGGTATTTCTGAGTCATGGTCTGATTTTGGGCTGTTTGGCTGGCTGTTGTTGCTGGGCTGTAGTTAAGTACCGTCTGTGTGATGCAGATTAGGATTACAGTTGTTATCTAGGTATTTCTGAGTCATGGACATGACCATGGACGTGCTCAGATCATGACTCAAAAGCACCCAGATAACTAATCCTAATGTGGCATATGGAGTGGGGGCGAATATGCAAACCTCTTCTACAATAGCCTCATATTGATGCTGCAAAGTAAAAACTACTTGTAGTTGTTCTAAATATGGGGAACTTTTGAAAGAACATCTGCTACAGAATTGAAAGGGATTGCTTGAAAGAGGATTAGAGTAGAATGATTTATGGTAGAGATAAGCAGTCTGGTTTCCCTCCAGATGTTTCCAGCTTGGAACTGATCAGAACTAAACCCCAAAGCATCTGGATATCCTAGCTGCCCACACTTAAAAGATCTCTGTACGGAACATGATCTGCTCCATAAGATGGTGCTGTCCGCGCAACCCAAAGCCTGGGTAACTTTTTATGCAGCCTCAGTGCGTCATTTCCTAGAAAGATGAGGTAATCAGTAGAATGAAAGTGGGGGAGGGAAGGATGTGTGAAGTGGCGTTTGTGATTGGCCGAGAGGACTATAAATAAAGGCGCTAGCGGAAGCTATTTAGGCAGTGTTACTGGCGCTCGTTCGCCGGGTTTGCGTTTGTTCTCGGTGCTTGAGGGAATGCTGGCTGCCTGACCGCCTGTGCCGCCAACGCCGCGCCCGGGACGCGAATGAAGAAACTTCTTCTATTGCTCTTCAACTATCGGGGACTCGCGAGAGGGGGGGGACGCAAGGGAAAACGTCGCCGAAAATGGCCGCTTTCCATATCCGAGCCGCGCGGCCCGAGGACTGCGCTGATATTCTGCGCCTCATAAAGGTATACCTCGCTTCGTGTCGGTCTGGGAGCCTCGCCCGATCGCCGCACGCAACTCCGACTGTTGGGGAAAATCTTAATAAAGTTAAGCCCAACGCCGTCCGGTTCGCCTCCTTTTGTTCTTATCGGAACAAATAACAATTTTTGCGTAATATAAAATATGGGGCTCTGGAGACATCGGAGGGAAGGGAGTGGGAAAGCGACGGTTTACCCCAGGAACCTGAAAAGCGGTGCGATTCCCCACACGGGTTCGGCTACTTTTCTCAACAGCCTTCCAGAGAGCATGAGACTCTCGGGAGACATCCGCACGGTCGACAGCAAAACGCACTACAATAACAGACGGAGTCCTGACTGCCTTTTTTCTTGCTATTCTTTATATACAATTTCTCCTTTAAGAAAACAAAGGTTTCCTGGCATTTTAAGAATCAGCATTTTGTTTGTGCGATATGTTTTCATGTGCCGAACTCTACAAAAGCATCTTTACAAAAGCTGGCCTTTAATCTGTTAGAAAATTAAGTAGTTGTGATTAATTCTAGATAACGTGCATTGTATTTATATTGTTTAATTTCCCTCCAACTTTTGCTGTTCTTTTTTCTCCTGTTCAAACTATAAATTAGATATTTTATCATATTACCTTTTTATTGTTATATTACCTTTATTATGTAGAATATAACAAAACTTAAGCAATTATGAGATGTATTTGTTTAAAATAAGCTCAAACTGATGTTTTTACTGCAATAAAGTAACAGCAGACAATATTTTACTGCCAAATATTTAAACTTCTCCAACTGAACTTTTACCTTTGTCCTAAAGTGCTATGCTATGCTACACTACTTGTTTAATTTTCTTGTTTTTTTTAAAAAAATAGGTTAAATCTAACATTTCACTTAGGGGCAAAAGTCCTAGGGTGGGGTGGGGGTGGAGATTGTTTTGTCAACCCTGAAACAACCTTTCCTCCCTTTGGAAACACATCTTTGCCCTCATAAATTGGCAAAGAATTCCTTCCTCTTAGGAGGAGGAGTCTTTATGATCACTAACCTCTGTGATACTATTAATAAGAAAGTGGGTTAAAACACATAACTTTCCAAATAAAAATAAATGAACTTGTGGCTCTTTATGCCTAATGGAATAGAAAATTAGCCATAATATTTTGTTTTGGACAGGAGCTTGCTAAATACGAAGATATGAAAGATCAAGTAATACTGACTGAAAAAGGTAATGGTATACTTTAAAATAAATCTAGTTAATTTACATGGGAGATTGGGAAATTAGTTAAATCATCCATATGTTCTCATTCTGCAGATCTTCTTGAGGATGGTTTTGGAGAACATCCTTTCTACCACTGCCTTGTTGCAGAAGTGCCAAAAGAACACTGGACACCTGAAGGTGAAACAAACATTGTAATGTTTAGAAAAAGATTAAGATTTAAACATCTTTAATAGAATTATACATATATTCCCAGGTTAATACTGAAAACATGAAAATATATATTGGATTCAGATCTTGTCTTCCATGAATGGAAGGGTTTTTTTAAAAATCTAATTGATCAGTTCTGCTGGCAGGTAATGGGAGGAGACATTTTTAATGATTCCTTCCTTCCCATCCGCATAAGTACCTACTCTGGAGAATCTAAGGACCATCCAGAATGGCATAATAGCTGACAGTGCAGGGAGATCTAGAGGGGAGGGTTAGAGAATCACCTCTCCTGTTCCCTGCTGGCTGGATTCTACTGAGCATTTCATTCAAGGAATGCTCCTATTGGCAAGAGCAAATTCTGAATCCAACTTGATGTCTTTTGTTTTTGCTTTTTAAAAAAAATTGCTTTGTTATCCTTAACACCATGGAGAACCAGGTATCCAGGTATAACAGTAGAAGAAAAAGTGTAATTCCACTTCATTTCATGGTTATTGTTTGACCCTAACTTATCGCAATGCAAATCTGTTAAATCTCATTTTCTTTAATTTGTCCCAATCTTCAGGTTACAGTCTCTAGCTTCGCCATGTACATGGCCCTTCCGTGTACATGGATGGGCGGGGAGGTAACTAAAAGATCGTTACACAATAAAGTAGATGATCATGATATATGAGGTAAGGTCTCCAGGGACAAATACTATTCCCAAACATTTACCTCAAGTAAGAAGAAAGTATAAAAACACTCGGTAGATCAGAAATCATACATGTAATTTCTGTTTTTAGAAATCTATAAAGCATATTAGACTATACAATCAAATTGGAGTCAGTAATGTCTTATGCAGATGTAACTGGAAAAGGCCAAAAATTGAAAAGTGAACACTTGCTCCTTTTTAAAAGTAGTAGTGAAAAACACTGGTAGCAATTAACATGGCTGCTTCAATTCAACTGAAGATTCAGCTGCAATTCAGCTGCTTTTAATAATGTTTAGATGTCACAGATGAAACAAATGCTGTTGCCTCCTTTAAAGCACCTTTGCATTGTAAATAAAACTTCAGAATTTATTTAGAAGATAAATACCAAGGACTTTGATTCGGGAAAAGTCCTGATATATAAATGTAAGAACAGTCAATTACCACAGCATTCTGATCTGCCGTTGTGAATTTGTTGAAGTTTGTATTGATCCAACATGGTATAAATAGGATATGGAAGGAGTATTTTTAACAACAACAACAAAATTCTAATTTTAATGGCAAACTGACACAACTGGCCATACATTTCAGCTGTACAGTTACTACAGTTTCAGCTGTACAGTTACTGGGCATGTGCAAGTTCAGTTAACTGCATCTTATTAATATGACATTTTCTTCTACCAGTTTTTAATTGATAGGGATCTGTACTCTGCTACTACTTATTGCATTTATTGAATTTCAAATGTTTACTTTTGCAGCATAACAGATTACTGTATTTTCCACTCTATAAGATGCACTTTCCCCCCAAAAAAGTAGGTGGTAATGTCTGTGTATCGGTTGCCAGTCGGTTGCCGAGCCACAGGGGTGAAGTCCTTTTACAGTGCTGAACCCCGCCTCTTCTGTCTTTGTCATTGCCCATCTCTTCTGTCTCTTTTCTGCAATGGAGGAGTCAATAGGCAGAGCTGGCACATGAGACAACACTTATCTGTGGTCCTCTCAGGTTTTGCCTGATTTTTTTTTCCTCCTCTAAACCTAGGTGCATTGTATGGTCAGGTGCATCTTACAGTGCAAAAGATATGGTAATTTTGCATGATTACAATATATATTTTGATAAATGCATGTAAAATTTGAAATACACTTCTGTTTTAATGATGTACTACCTATGTAAAATAAAAATACCTTTCATTGCAGGTTATAGTATTGTGGGCTTTGCCATGTATTATTTTACTTATGATCCATGGATTGGAAAATTGCTGTATCTTGAAGATTTCTTTGTGATGAATGAATTCAGAGGTATCTTAGATATTAAACATTAGTATTTTAGAATCATGTTATAAGCTGTATACAAATCTGATTTATAAAATTAAAATTTTCCCATCTTTAGGCTCGGGCATTGGTTCAGAAATTCTGAGGAATCTAAGTCAGGTAAGTAGATGATTATGACTTTCCATTGTATGGGGGGAAAAGCAACTGATCAATTAAAGTTATTTCCAGTACAAATGGAAATTTCATCTGATCCATTCATACTTTGTTTTACTCATTGATGACTATCTAGTGGGTCTCTAAGAACAATTTTCAAAGATCTTTGTTTCCAGGAAATAATTTTAGAAGATATATATGAATTACTGATCATGTAATTCCCTTTTGGTTCTAAGCTGAGTTATATAAAACATAGAAATTAGAAAAAGTAAGCCAACAAATATTAAAGGCACGAAATAAGAAAAACATACTTAAAATTACTTTACCCCAAACCATTTAATTAATTCTCCATATTTTCCAACCTTGTAAACTATGCTTACTTCCCACATATGTACACTTAATTTGATATATTACTTTTTGTTCAGTTATTCAAAAACAATGATAAATCTGTTACACATTTTAAATGCTCATTTTGATTAGGATTCTTTCACAGACAGGATGCTATATTCAAAATATATTTGTGCATTGAAGTGTGATACTCTTTCCTCAGCAAAAAAAGTATTTGCATGATCTTAATTCAATCTACATTTGAGCTCTTTGTGATAACACACTGAATCATAGTTCTAAAACCTGTTCAAAAAATTATTTTTAAATACAGTCAAAGCAATAAGGAATTCTTAGTCCCATAAAGCCAATATTATTGAAATGCTATTGTTGAAATAGTATATGTAGTTCTTACTTAACTATGGCTATTGGGACTAGAATTTCCATTGCTAAGTGATGCAGCTATAAAACACATGACTATGCTGCTTAGTAATGGAAATTCTGGCCCCAGTTGTCATTCTTCAGCAAACCATTGCCTGTTGTTAACCAGGAAAGTCACATAATTGCCATTTGCCTGCTTCCCTATTGACACTGCTTATAGGAAGCCAACAAAGGCTGTGACATTGTAATTATGAACTAGGTGCCAAGTCTTGATCGTTATCATGTGAGTAGGGACATTGCACCAGCTGTAAGTACAAGGAGCGGTCTTAACTACCACTTGTTCAGCACTGTCTTTAAGTTTGATCATTAAAAGAGGAACACCTGTATGTTAAATGTATTGCAGTATTCATCCAGTTTTTCAGTGACTTTATACTATGTTGTGAAAGTTTTTAAAAATTAATATTGAGGTTAACCTATAAAACACTCATCTTGGGTTGCAAAGCAATCAAAAATACATTTGGAATTATTTTTTGTAGCTGTCTGGGAATCTGTAATTTTGAGGCATTCTTAATGCAATTCAAATAAGCACACAAGGAATATTTAAACTTGGCACTAATTTTAATATATATTTATATATAGATATATACATTTACAGGTACCATGTCTTAAGACCACAAATATGCCGCTACTTTTACTCCTATGTTCATGTTCTTTATTTCTTTCTTCAGATTGCTGTCAAATGCCGTTGCAGCAGTATGCACTTCTTAGTAGCAGAATGGAATGAACCTTCCATTAAATTTTACAAAAGACGCGGAGCTTCTGATCTATCATCTGAGGAAGGATGGAGACTCTTCAAAATAGACAAAGAGTATTTGATGAAGATGGCAACTGAAGAATAAGTGTTGTCAACCCAATAACCCAAATACAAATTAAACGTGTAATTTCTCAGTTTGCTAGCCCTGTATTACTTTTCTTTCATTTTAATATTGAAATAGTTAATATATATCTTAAACCTAAAGCTCTAATATTAATAGTGTAGATGTTACTGTATTGTGGAGTTCTGAGACTCCAACGTAGCAACAGTTTACTGTCAGTACATCTCTGATCCTGAAATGTCTTATTTGTAACTTCATTGTAAGTATCCTTCAAATGTGTACAGTGTACACTATGGTATTTTTTGTTTTCAATTATTTACATTTATGAGAAAATAAATGTTTTCTTAGTGATCACAAATGCTTATGTCAACTTTTATTTACTGGCCTTCTCCAATTGTTTATATACATTGCTGTCTTTTTGGAATCTCATATCTCACATATTATCACTACCTTGTATCCCTTTTAATCCACCAATTTGAAGAGCATTCAAGATATTACTAGACATTTAATTCATTGGGAAGTTTCACACAGATTTAAGATAAGGCAACCTAGGAAAAGTAAACTAGTAGGGTGCTAGTAGGGTGCTATCATTTTTAAGGATTTTCAAGCTTGACACTAGAGTACACAAGGTACACAAAGGGGGAAAAGTAGTGAAATAAATTAGGGAAGGAGAAGTCTTTCCGCTGATTTCCTTCTGTTCCCAAAATATTTTAGTCACATTGCAGATAAGCATATGATTCATTGGTTCAACTACTATAGGCAATCCACAACAACATTTTTCCCTATCATAATGCCCAGTGTTCCTTTCTACATTATTTTCCATTATTCAAAATACACAGTAACCTGCAATCCTATAATGCACATAATCTTTCTTGCCTGTTAACGTATTCTGGATATAGCTAATTAAAGTTCTGCTTTCCTGTGGACATGCAAAGATATGTAATCTGAAGTGGGCCACAATTCTAAAAGGTTTTGGCATATGACTGTTCAGTTCTGTTTGATTTATATTCTGCCATCTTTAATATCCCTATTGCAAAACACTTATAACTAGACTTTTGGAAAGTGTATTTTCATATATATAGACAGTCCATGGAATCCAATATTCCTGTACAATCATTTCTATTCGCATTTCCTAATATTTTTGATAGAAACACTGATCAAAATATCACATACAGGTTTGAATTCCTTCATCTTTTTATACAGAGCCTCTGTTGACTAATAGAGGACAATATTTGTAGCTCAGGGTTGAAGTGAGGTGGTCTCTGGGCTTGGTTTTTTTCTTGCAGATGTTTCATTACCCAAACTAGGTAAAGTCATCAGTGTTTGGCACTGATTAGGTTACCTGGTTTTAGCTAATGTCTGCACAAAAATAAACAAGCTCAGATAGCACCAAGGATGCGGTTAATTAATTTCATCATTTTTTGGTAAATTCACTATCACCTTATGGAAAAGCAACACATCTTTTGAGATCACAGCACCAGTCTGAACATGGCTGTTACAATATCTCTGAAGAGAATGTCAGATCCCTATCGTGATACTGTCATTTCTTTGGGGAGGGGGGCTTGGATCATTTATTCACTTACTGCCTTCTTCCTTTTTCCTACATATCCTGTAATCCCTTAGTTTATAACCCTAGCAATGACACCTGTCTGCCCTGTGCTTTGATTTACCTTTGGGGAATGTGTAAGGGGGGAGGGTCATCTGTTTTATTTCTGCTCAGAAGCCTCTGGAGAGAAGCGCCTGGGAACAGTTCCTTATCTCCTTCCCAGGACAGCTGTTTTCACATCTGCACCTGTGGATTGGCCTATTCAACATCAGACTGAAGGGAGGGGTTTCTAACTCCTTTACCCTAATGGAATTGCCGAAGGGGAATTTAGATCCTGCTTTGCTCTTGTCTTGCAATCACTTCCTTTCAATAAAAGTTTCCTTTTGAAATGCTGTTTCAAGAGTTTGTATTTTCTTAAATGGGGAGGAGAGGTGGGACCTTACATAAAGCAGGATCTGCAAAAGTGGTCAACCCAGAGAAGCAAATTCGCTCTACCGAGGGGACCTTATAAACAATGTCTGAACAAAGTGTTGAGCAAGGGGAGGCAGAATGCCACTGTGAGACCTCTGTCACCACCCAGCCAAATGCCGGCTCCATCTGCCCCATCAAAGTCATCAAAGCTGTGTTGGAAGGCTCCACAAAGTCCAGGTGGTCAATCAGAGTGGGGAAGAAAGACAATTGAGACAATAGAACCAGAGGAGTCAGCCTCACCCATGGCAGCTGGCAACCGGGCTGGAAATGTGAACTGGAAGCCATGTCAGACCAAGAAGAACTGACTGAGGAACTGGCCGGGGACAATCGACTTGAGAAACATGTCATGTGATTCGTGATGGAAGCTTTCAAGAATTTCAGAGTCGGGGGGAAGTTGGATCCTCGCCGAGGGGGGGTGGGGCTGAAGCTGCAGCAGCAGCCAATGGATCTGGAACCGCCACCCCAGATCCAGCAGCCCATCCACTGCTGCTGCAGACCAGCAGCTGCCCTGCCAAATCTGCCCCATGCAGTGCCATCTCCTACGAATGTCCCTGGTCAGCCCAGAGCACTGCAGCTGGAAACCCCACCCCCCATGAAGTAGAGTATGGCAACCCACAACAACTGGGGTTCTTCCTGGCACATGTCCTCACATACATGCAAGAGTACGGGTGGGATTTCAAAACCCAGGGTACCTGAGTTCGAGTTGTCATCCTGGTGCTAGAAGGAGGGGCGGCCAGATGGATAGTGAGCCTCCACAATGCCAATGCTCCCAAGATGAGAAATTGCAACCGTTTTATGATGGCTTTTCACCACCAGTTTGACAACCCCCTGGCAGACCAAAAAGCTCGTGATTGCATCAGAACCATGAAGCAGAGCCACCAGCTGGTGGCTGAATACACTGAGGAATTCTGAGACCTCACCTGCAGGGTAGCCTGTCCAGAAGACATCCTGGTGAACTGGATCAGAGTTAGCCTGAATGACGACCTCTACCAAGCCTGCTGTGATGACCCGGGATGTGACACAAAGGCAACACAGTCAAATAAGCAAGAAGAGTCCCTTTATTATCTACAACTTTGCCCTCTAGTGTCCAGGTTATCTTTGGCTGGAGAAAAACTCTCCTAGGAACTGTCTTTACGTGGAGGAAATTCAGTCCAAAAATGAAATACATACAAACTGTAACTAAAAATCCAAACAAACCACACTGCAGTAATTAACTTGACAGGGCAGGAGAAGGAATTGCAGACTGGAAAGCACAGCAAAACACACAAAGTTGGGAAGATGCCAGGAACACACATAAACCTTGATGAAACTAGATAATTCACAATTTGCTCCCAACTACTTGCTGTGCGCAACTTCCCTTTTTAAATTAGTTGTAGCTGTGTTCCCAGCTACAACTAATGAAGGGAATCAGGGCCCTTTCCTCCCCCATAAGCCATGCAACTCATTTCCCTCCCTTCCTCCCTGCGAGGCCTAGGATGAAGAAGGTGTGGGCCTGGGTCCTTCTCCGAACCCCCTCTCCCTTACTCTACCTCTCCCCTGCTCTGCCCAGCAGGACTTTGCCCTTCCCCAGTTTCTTCCACAGGCAATGGAGCCACACACCCACTCCCTGTCAGCTGCTTGGCCTCCCCCTCTGAATCAGATTCCAACAGGGGCATGACACCTGCCTAGCCAGAGGAGCCCCAAACCGTATACATGAATGATATATCCTAGCCAAAGAGGTAGAGATCGACCTGGCCAGTACTGAGCAGGGGAAGCTTTGAAGAGATCCCTACCCTGGGAAAATGGGAGGCATCCAAGCCAAAAACCGCCCTAGCGCTGAGATCATCAGCCTGTTACAAGTGCGGGAAGGAGGGGCACTGTACAGCTGAGTGCCTTTTGAAAACTCCTGCCTGGAAACCTGAATTCCTGTCAGGTGGGAAGCCCGTGAAAACCACCCCATGCAGAAAAGACAATGCACAGAGAAGTGGAGAGGCTGTGGAGTTTCGTCCCCTCGCAAAATCGGGAGAAGGAACTTCGGCACCACCAGGAGAAGGACCAAGCCAGTTCGAAAGCAACCCTGAAGACGACCCACTGATAAGCGAACCAATGGAACCGCTCACCCTACCCCTAAGACTATTCACCTCAGCCGGTGGAAAAAGGTAAAACTCTCAACCATCCTGCACTCAGGGTGCACCTGGTGCTTAATTAGCCCAACTCTAGTGGGGAAACTGGGCATCTACCTGCAGAAGCTAAAAATCCCCATTGCATTTTGCCAGTAAGATGGCTCAGTTGCAGGGTGGGGGAGCCAGCAACTTTTCCCACAGAACTCTAGACATAGACATAGGGACCCTTGATGAGAAACTCACATTCATTGTGGCACCCGGAATGGAATGGCTCTAGTTCTGCGACTCACCTGGCTGAGGAAGTGGAACCCAAGAGTAAACTGGAAGCAGGGGACCCTAAGATTTCAATCAGGAATGACCGGACCAAATGGCCGAAGGGAGGAACTGTGAGGAAAGCCAAACAAAGAAACAGCTGTGGCCAGGAGAGCCACGCCAACTCAGGGCATCCCCAGGGAACACAAGGACTTAGCAGAAGTGTTCAGTGAAGAGGACTCCAACAAACTTTCCCCCCACCATCCCACAGACTGCACCATCAAAATCCCCTCAGGCTCCAAACTCCAAACTACCAAAACCCAAGATGTATAGCATGCCTCCAGGGAACTCGAGGAATTGAGGATTTTCATAGATAAGAACCTGGCTAGGGTTTCATCAAATCAACATGACCAAAGATTGCTACCCCAGTGCTGTTCCGAGAAAAGAAAGATGGGTCTTTAAGTCTATATGTAGACGATAGAAATTTAAACATTGTAAGGGTAGACAATGTGTACCCACTTCCCCCCAAAAGGACAGGGGGAAAATCTTTTCAAAATTAGACCTAAGAGAAGCTTACTACTGAATGAGGATAAGGGAAGGGGATGAGTGCAAAACAGCTTTTAACCTCCCCTTGGGGTGCTACCAAATCAAAGTGCTTCCATTTGGACTACAAGGCGCTCCCACTGTTTTCATGCAACTCATAAATGAAGTGCTCCATGATCACTTATACAAAGGGGTTTTGATGTATTTAGATGACATTTTAATATACACTGAAACAAAAACTGAACATATAAAACTTGTCTGGGCAGTTCTAAACAAACTCCATGCTGCTAAGCTTTATGCAAAACTGTCTAAATGTGAATTCCACAAGGATAAGATAAACTACCTGGGATACCAAATATCCCCTGAGGATATAGAAATGGACCCAGGGAAAGTACAAGCAATGATTGACTGGGCCCCCTCCCACAAGCGCCAGCAACTGTAGAACTTCCTGGGGTTTGCA